TCAATATAGCCTGTTTTATATCACATTCACAAAGTGAGGATGAGATAATTATTCGCCGGCAGAAAAAGTTTGACATTTCATCAAATACAAAGCTTTTTGTTTTACAAAGATTTTGTTTCATCTCATTTTCGCAAGAAAGCACGTCAATTTACAGCCGTGCGGTCATACATCACCGGTCTTTTAACGGAATCTTGCTTCAAGATAATACGAGAAACTGGGTATACGACGTGGCTTGCAGAACGATTGCAGCCGAACGTAACTTCCGCCGAGTGCTATCTCGGTACTCCACACCTCTACTTTATTAGGTGAATGTATATACATAGCGGGACGCGCGCGCGGTATTTTGAGCTCACGTAGGGGATACGCATACGATGGCGTGTTAAGTAAACGGATACGTTATGTGATGGACCCTCTCGTACGCGCATCTCGCCGTAAGTAAAATAGATCGAGGGTGAATTGGTGGTCTGTGCCCGCTAAAGTCCGTCTTTGGACATCGTATCGCGGAACAATTCGAGTGCCCCCGATAACCGAGCATTTTTTAGTCTGTGAGGTTTCATTTTGATATTAGCTCTCTTCCTCTTTTCTTCTAGTCGCAGTTCTATATTTGTCTTTCTTTTTTCTCGCACACGTGTATACGTTTTTCTTGAATGAATGATGGACACTTGGAGATGATAGAAATTTCCGTTTACATAAACTTTTTTAAAATTTATATACCGAGTCGAAATTTTGCCCTTATATTCACTTTCTATTTTTGCACATTTATGGACTCTGGAGGATTTTGACAGGTTTTTTTTATATAAAAATTGTATTGTATTAAGTGTTTTTCTATTTTATATCTCAAAAGTGGACAGTTTTCCACTTAGAAGTTTAAAAGAGGAGTTTTCGGAAAAATTATAGATTAAATAGTTTCAAAATAGGATGATTTAACTGTTAAAATATCAAATTAAATATTAGATTGAACATTGAGGTCTAAAGCAGGAGAAAAATTTTGGCTCGAGTACATATAAAGCGGGCAGCGCATTTCCGATTTTTAATTTTAATATTGATCTATTTTTCATATGTTACGAGAATAGCTATATAATATTTTTTCTCTAGAATATGATTTTTCGCGAAATGATGATTGAAATTTATGGATTATTGTTACAGTAAACTTAACACGTTTTTGACATAATCTGCTGAAACGTCGTTATTTTCTTCACAGGATAACGTTCATTTTATCACGGTCTTATCATGAAACTCGTCCTGTCTCAGAGCGATTTACATTTTTTTATATGAAAGATATATTTTGGGGGGGGATTTATACAAAAGCGCGCGCACAGAGAACGATCGATTGTATATGATATACGTATGTATCGAATTACGAGCGGACTATCGTCGGGTGAGGATCAACGCTCCACCGGGATGCACGATAATTATTTCTGCGTTAGCCATAATTATTGCCGGGATGGCAATTAATTCTTGCCGGAGCGGCAATTAATTTATTGTGGCTTGATTAATTACCGCATGGTAGGCGGGCGAGACAGTTCGTTACTGCAGCTGATTGCCCTTTTGCTACGCAATAAGGTCCAAAGTTGGGAACGCCTCTTTTTCGAAAAAAATTAGGAGACACTGTGAGATTTGCTTGATGTATATACATTTATAGATAATCGGATTTATCTAAAACGAATAGATGATTGTTCTATTTCAATAAAATGCATCATCTTTTATCGTTGTTTAATAGTGTTGGATAAAATCAAATTATTGTGTATTAAAGATATTTTATCTTATGTATCACAAATATTTTTATCGAAGAAGTGCATTCGTCATAATGATAATAAGTTTTTAATTAGAAAAACATGTTATAATAGTAAAATATATGCTTTATTTATATATTATTTTATATTTTACGCGCATATAGAGTGATATATAATTCCGGCGCAGTCTATCAAAATTGTGCGTCTTAAAAATATTACAATGCTTATCTTTCTTTCTTGTCAAGCAGTATCATAGCAATGAAAAGGTCTTCAACTTTGTATCATAAGTATTCCGAACTTACTCGTTAATAATGGGCTATTTATTTGTTATAAATAATTAACGCGGAAGCTGTTTTCGTATAATGTTCTTCTCTTGTTGGATGGATGCGAGAACCGGTCGTTCGGTGATTGGCGCGTTTTTCTTTCGTTATCGAGGGATCAAACGATAAATGACGGTCACGTTTCGGCTTGTGGATGAGATATTGCGTAGAGTTTTCACTTTTCATCGAGAAGCATCCTATTTGCGAGGATCGACTGGCATTTTAGTCGGATCCATCTTATAAGACGAATGACGCTGTTTGAGAAACACGATTTGTTCCGTTTCGAGATCATTATGCCCTGAAACATTTCCAATTTTTCAAGATCAGCCAGGTAGATATCTGCTTTCGTCGCATTGATTTCTAGTTTTTTTCGCAAATGATCGCATACATTATAATAATTAAAAACACATTATAATAAAGAAACAGTTTTTGAAAGAAAGATATTATATACAGATGATAAATGCGTGATTCAAATCGAAAGAATTATTGGTTAAATAAAATGACATGTATAAATAAAAAAATTAATATCGCAGATAAAAAAAATATATAGATCATTAAATTTCTTGAATTAACTTTAAGATGCAAGTTTGTAGGATCGCTTTTAACAAATACATTAATATTGTGATTATTATTATTAAAAGCAAATAATATTTAAAAAAATCTTATGCATTTGTGAAATTTATAGTGCTGTTTTATATTTATAATGCACTTATATAAAATACGAAAGTCAGATAGAATATGTTAGAGACAACACAAAATCTTCTTCTATTATTTATTGGAAACCTTGATACACTCGAGCTTAATCATAAATATTATGAGTCACGATACAAGACTATATTTACAGATAATTAATCGAGTAGTTGTGTCCTGATATACTTGTGGCTTGACGCTCGAAAGACGGAAGGGAGAGACACAGGGATTGGGATCAATGTGGAGCAATGAAAAGATGCTTCAAGATTAGATTGTACGAACGTGTTTGTAAAGGGAAACAACCAGGAGGGGAAGTTAATATTTTACACGGTGGCAAAAAGATTACGCGGCGAGATCAGCGAATTTCTGAATAAATATTAAGAGACACTCTTTGACGAGCTCCCTGAATTAGCTACGACTCTTTCGCTGGCCTCACTCACATATATACGGAGTAGTTTCGTAAAATATTATTTAATCCTCGCTGGCCGTATACCCGATATGCGATTCTGTGTAATTTTCTTAGTTCTTTCTTTTCCTTCAATGAAGGTTCGCATCTTCGATATTATGTATATCGTGTGTATAAAATATAAACTTAGATATATTTTTCGTTTGTTATATGTAATGATATTTAATTAAATCTTAACACATTATTTACGAACATTCAGGAACAATGCGATTCGGGCCGGGTAGTTTAATTTTTGCTCGTATCTGATTAAATATACATAACGATTAATAGCAATGACATGAAATGGTTTAATTTTTAAGAATCATGAAATGGCTATACTTTTCATGCAATAACGTTATCTCTTAATTATATATAAATTTAAAATATTTGAGTGACCAAAGATCTGTGCTCATGTAAATTCTTTACAAACATATTAATATATGTTATGTTAATATAAAATAGATTTTGTTCATTTCATAAATTTTTTTATAATTCTTCCATTATATGTTTGATTTGTTGATTTTATTTTACTAATAAGTTCTATTAAATATACATTCTTTTATTTATTATTTTAATTGTGTTATTGAATGATTGAACTGCTAGAGCGAGACATATAATCAATTTTCACGTTCCTGAATATGGTGAATAATGCCACATAGATAAACATATAAGTAGTGAATCTTATCAACGGCAATTAAGCGTCGTTACTTATGTTACGTTCGTCTTGATCTCAAAATATGCCGCTTGCGAGATCGAGATAAGCAATAAAAAAAAAATATTAAACATCGATTGTCAGTGCATTGTATTAAATCACGGATTAATAATTGTGCGATGGTGAAACAATCGAAGTTTTATTAGTCTTATTTCATTGATCGCACATTCGGCACCGAGATCTTGGCAATATATCGACGGCTTCTAAATTCTATTAATCGACGAGCGATAACTCGCTATGGATACTTCATTTGCGATACAAACATCAATTGACGAATGAATATCGATTAACATTCCGATAAGTAAGAGAGAAGCGAGAGTATAGCAGCGAATATTATTTATATAAAAAGCATTCGCACACGAAGGATCGATGAGACCTATTATATCCATGGGAATCTGAATTATCAACGACTATCAATATATGTAAGGCACTTCGCACTATGTCAATCCCACGCTTACCTTAAGAAGTTAATAAGTACAAAGTAGTACACATACGAAACCCTTCTAAAATTTTTACAAATTTGCTATTTTTTTAAATCGTAAAAAATTAATTTATCATCGTCGTGTCACCTAATTATACTTTCATCAGCCAATATCATCAGCTTATCGACAGCTCAGTCATTTATATCGATAATTCTCTATCTTAAGAGGATGCCGGACCGTCCTGTTTTACCGGCCATAATAATTATATATTTGCTTAATATAAGGGTTTTGCGATGTGTACGTGCAAAATAGGATACCTCTCCACTCGGAAATGCATGAAGGAATATAAGTGAACGTTTGAAAATGTATTTGAAAGCCTAGTAAGAAACATTTCGGTGTGCAAAATGTTGCATAGTAAAATCTTTTTTATAAAGCTTCTAAACTCACTTCTCGAAGTTCACTAATACTCTTTGATAAAATGCCGAGTGCGGAGTTCACTTGTTAGGCACGTGCAGGTTGCAGGTTTTTTATATTAAGTAAATGTTGACGGCAGAAGCCGATAACAAAACTGTAATTTTTTAATTTTTTTTCACTTTTCATATGAAATCATAAACCCCGCACTCCGTTATTATGTATACTTTAATTATGGAAAAGGATTTGTTGATATCTATAATCAACAAAAATATTTTGCAATCCTACTAATATTCGCATTCTGTCGGTATCCGGCATCCTCTTAACGACACATTACGCGTTTCTATCTTATCGGCAGAGCATTTCTTCTTGGCAACTCCGAGAGATGCGAGATGCGAGGATATCGCCGATCGAGATGAAGAAGAGAAGAAACAGGCTTCTCCGCGCGCTAGCGCTGTTTTTAATTGATTCGGCCCTTATGCGTCATATAACTTATGCTGTCCGACAATAATTTTTCTCGTGCGTGTCGTCGCATTCGCGAGCACATGACCAGTATCGTGCCGGCCATGATACAAAAGAATCCGCAGCCGACTGCCACTATTGTACTGGCCACAGAAGATCTCAAGCACACTTTGTCAGTTGTAGATTCGCTAAGTCCTATAAAAAAAATAGAGAAACAGATTATTTAGAGAGAGGGAGATGCACTTTAAATTACTATGTATTTTACAAAATATAAATATATATCCCAGTAAATATTTATATAGTTATATTAATATTGTATAAGAGCAATAAAACGGAATGTTATAACAAGTAATATACATAAGTATTACCGTAAGTATTACCGTAAGTTACTAGTTAATTGTAATTTCCCACTCATAAATATAACATATGTTATACCGTAGTTAGTTATATTCCATATATATAGAAATGATCATAGATTTGCTAATTAAATAAATGAAAAAAATAATTTATAT